TGGTTTATAATTCATTTGGTAAAGCCAATATACTACTGCCGCGAAACCGTCTCATTACACACTGAAGATGTTTTCTATATAATATACATACATCTATCCTTATAGTAGTTAGCAAAGTACTATATAATATATCGTACTGAACCAAAAAATGTGGTTTTCTAAGCTTGTGCGTGTATATCAATCACATTGACTAATTCATTTCAAGAAAATCTGTAACTATTATCTCTACCATTTATACTTATTAGAACAAATTAAACTAAAATTCAAATTTTGTTCTTAACTTGCTTAACAGACATGAAATTGTGATAATTATTACTTTTTGTCATGGCAACTATGATGTTATAGCGCAATTGTATTAAAAATATGGGTAAAAATAGAAAAAAATGGAATAAATCGCAAACTAATAAAAATAGGTATATGACATTCTAAATAAAAGTTGAAGAGTTTGGTAAAATCTATCAGAAAAAATGATAATATATAGGGTGTACCATTTAAAAAAATTGAAATTCCTTAATTTTAAGTAGTTGAAATTCCTAAATATATTTTGAACACCCTGTAACATCTAACTAAAATATCTTTACATAGGTCTTTTTCTATATCTTTATAAAATACTCCTACCAAATTTTAGTTGTCCAACTTCAGAATCAATGCCAGCATTGACAATTTTTTAACCCACTGCAATCTAACATTTGTGTAAACAAATTTAAATATAACAAAAACTATTAATTTTAGGTATATAACATTATACATAAAAAAGTTATGGAATTTTACTCAGAATCTAAAAATAAAATAAAAAAATAGGGTGTTACGTTTAAAAAAACATATGTTATATTCGCTACACTTTTTTGAAGCACCCTGTATACTGTATAATAATTTTAAAATGTGTATCTTTACCATCTCTATAACTTTTATATTTAAATTTTTTTTGTAAACCTCGAAACAAATGAGATAATGGACTTTACTCTATCGTTGACTCACCCTGTACAGAGGGCGACGCAATAATTGGCCACACTTTGGACATCCACTCGACGGACGTAAAAAAGGAACGCAAGTACTTCTACGTCCGACGGAGATGAAGAGCGGGCCCGGACTCAAAGAGTAGTACCTCGCACAATAATTTTTCGGTACCGGTATTGTTCTTTATGGTAATAGTTTTTGGGGAACGGTCCTCGGCGTCGCTGGGTGTTTAATTCAAGGTTTTTTCTCATCTCGAATAACAATCGAGAGTGGGAAAAAGGGTGTAAGAAAAACGACATGTACAGGGTGGAGCGCTGATAAGGAATACGAATTTTTAATGAGGTTTTGAATTATTTATTAAGGATTTGAAGAATTTTTCTTACAGGTGATGTTTTGTCATCAAGAAATTAAGCTTAATTCTACTAAAATTCTGGTTTAATAAAATGATTTAGAGTTTTGAAGAGTATATTGAGGTTAATTTCAGCATAAAGTTCCATTCAGAACCTCGAAATTAGTGGAATAAATTAGTGGTTTCAATTAGCGTAGAAGTATGTTCCTATAATTGCAATTAATCATTCAGAACATCAAAATTAGTTGTCGTTGAACTTCATTCAGAACTTTAAGATAAGTGGAATAAATTAGCGGTGTAGTCTGTTCCTCTAATTTCAATGAAGTCAAAGAACGTCAAGATTAGTGGTAGTTAAGCTTCCTTCAGAACTTCAAAATTACTGGAATAAATTAGCGTAGAAGGATGTTTCTCTAATTTCAATTAATCATTCTGAACATCATAGTTAGTGGTAGTTAATCTTCATTCAGAATCTAAAAATTAGTGGATTAAATTAGTAGCTTCGATTAGTGTAGAAGTCTGTTCCTCTAATTTCAATTAATCATTCAGAACTTCAAAAGTAGTGATAGTTGAGCTTCATTCAGAACCCCAAAATTAGTGGAGTACATTAGTGGTTTCAATTAGTGTAGAAGTCTGTTCCTCAAATTTCAACGAAGTCAAAGAACGTCAACATTAGTGTTAGTTAAGCTTCCTTCAGAACTTCAAAATTAGTATATTAAATTAGTGGTTTCAATTAGTGTAGAAGTATGTTCCTGTAATTTCAATGAAGTCAAAGAACGTCAAAATTATTGGTAGTTAAGCTTCCTTCAGAACTTCAAATATAGTTTCAGAACTTCAAATATAGCGGATTAAATTAGTGGTTTCAGTTAGTGTAAAAGTCTGTTCCTCTAATTTCAATGAAGTCAAAGAACGTCAAAATTAGTGGTAGTTCAGCTTCCTTCAGAACTTCAAAATTAGTGGAATAAATTAGCGTAGAAGAATGTTTCTCTAATTTCACTTAATCATTCTGAACATCAAAGTTAATGGTAGTTAAACTTCATTCAGAACGTAAAAATTAGTGGATTAAATTAGTGGTTTCAATTAGTGTCGAAGTATGTTCCCCTAATTTCAATTAATCATTCAGAACTTCAAAATTAGTGATAGTTGAGCTTCATTCAGAACCCCAAAATTAGTGGAGTACATTAGTGGTTTCAATTAGTGTAGAAGTCTCTTTCTCAAATTTCAACGAAGTCAAAGAACGTCAACATTAGTGGTAGTTAAGCGTCCTTCAGAACTTCAAAATTAGTGGATTAAATTAGTGGTTTCAATTAGTGTAGAAGTATGTTCCTGTAATTTCAATGAAGTCAAAGAACGTCAAAATTATTGGTAGTTAAGCTTCCTTCAGAACTTCAAAATTAGTGGATTAAATTAGTGGTTTCAGTTAGTGTAAAAGTCTGTACCTCTAATTTCAATGAAGTCAAAGAACGTCAAAATTAGTGGTAGTTAAGCTTCCTTCAGAACTTCAAAATTAGTGGAATAAATTAGCGTATAAAAATGTTTCTCTAATTTCAATTACTCATTCTGAACATCAAAGTTAGTGGTAGTTAAACTTCATTCAGAACCTAAAAATAAGTGGATTAAATTAGTGGTTTCAATTAGTGTAGAAGTATATTCCTCTAATTTCAATTAATCATTATGAACTTCAAAATAAGTGGTAGTCGAGCATCATTCAGAACCTCAAAATTAGTGGAATAAATTAGAGGTTACAATTAGTGTAGAAGTCTGTTCTTCTAATTTCAATGAAGTCAAAGAACGTCAAAATTAGCGGTAATTAAGCTTCCTTCAGAACTTCAAAATTAGTGGAATAAATTAGCGTAGAAGAATGTTTCTCTAATTTCAATTAATCATTCTGTACATGAAAGTTAGTGGTAGTTAAACTTCATTCAGAACCTAAAAATAAGTGGATTAAATTATGGTTTCAATTAGTGTAGAAGTCTGTTCCTCTAATTTCAATTAATCATTAAGAACTTCAAAATAAGTGGTAGTCGAGCATCCTTCAGAACCTCAAAATTAGTGGAATAAATTAGAGGTTACAATTAGTGTAGAAGTCTATTCTTCTAATTTTAATGAAGTCAAAGAACGTCAAAATTAGTGGTAGTTAAGCTTCCTTCAGAACTTAGTGGAATAAATTAGCGTAGAAGAATGTTTCTCTAATTTCAATTAATCATTCTGAACATCATAGTTAGTGGTAGTTAAGCTTCATTCAGAATCTAAAAATTAGTGGATTAAATTAGTGGTTTCAATTAGTATAAAAGTATGTTTCTCTAATTTTAATTAATCATTCCGAACTTCAAAATTAGTGATAGTTGAGCTTCATTCAGAACCTCAAAATTAGTGGAATAAATTAGTGGTTTCAATTAACGTAGTAGTTTGTTCCTGTAATTTTGATGTCAGCATTCAGAACGCCGAAATTAGTGGTAGTAATATTCATTTAGTAGAAAAAGTTACCAAACTTTTAACTTTTACCACTAATTATTCTTCAAAATTTGCGAGAAATGTCATTTTGGCCTTGATGACCATCCACGAAGAGAAATTGCGGTTTATTATTTTATAAATTAATTATTAGGTGTTCTATATGGCTACAACTGACTACCGCAAGCTGTTGCTAGGATGTTTTATTAACTTTAATTGTATTTTTTAGACCTGTGAATGATCGTAAATTCTTAAGTAAAATTTCTAATTGACACTACTAATTTATTCCACTAATTGTGAACTTTTGAACGAAGCTTATGGTTTTATAACTATATTTTAGTGCAACGCCTCAAACAGATATTTTTAATTCATATTAATTATTAGCAAGCATAGGTTAAAAATATAGAAAAGTATTTTTCACATAATTAGAGAATCTCTTATGGTTTAATAAACCTTTTTACTAAAAAAATCCCAAAGGTGAAAATTCTATCCCTTCCAAAGTTACATTTAATCCTCTTACTGTTGGAATGTTACTCTCCCATTGGATTAGTTTGGTGAGAAATGAGAAATATTAATCAATACAACAGGAAAAAATTGGTTTTCAGGTTGGATTGGGAAGGAAGACGAAAATTTCTTTAGTTATTGTAACAACGTACTGTAAAGGAATATAAATTTCTGTCATTTATTTGGTGGTGTTAAATAATCAGTTTTGAAATATGAAATATGTTTGAATGTGTTGCTTCGCTTCGGAATATATTTCTTAATTTCTTATTCAACAAGAAATCGCGTTTTATTTTAAGTGAAACCATTGAAAAATATGTAAATAAAATTTATTTAATTGGTCTGAAATGTAATAGAATGTAAAAAAATAGGTGTAGATTGTATAGAAAAGGGGGAAATCAACCCCTTATAAAAAATGTCTATTCCTATGTGGCGGATTCATCTCTCCAAAAAAATCCTTTATGGGTATTTCGCCACTGCACTGCACGAAAATATTGCTTGTCAGAAGTTATGTTTACAGTTATACAAATTTGCCTAACAAAGAAAAAAATGCTTGACGTTTCGGAAAGTTTATCTCTTACCGTCAAAAAAATACAATGAATAAAGAAGAAACTATTTAAATTCAACTATTCGAGAACATTTTACTTTTTTAAAACCGATACGTCTACAAGAAACCGTTGACGTTCTGTTAAAATGACATTATATCAAGGTGTTTACCTTGCAATGCATTAAAACCAACCCAAAAATGCACACTAAGAAGGCTGAATTGCCGGAATTGGAGATCCGACTTTATAGATGGTTTCTTGCTCAACGTGAGAGGAATATGCCAGTTTCAGGTGACTTGATACGGCAAAAAGCGTTAAGTTTGAGTGTGAGTTTAAGTGTTGCTGGTTTTAAAGCAAGTGATGGTTGGCTACAGCATTTCAAACAACGTCACGGAGTAAGGTTATTGAAGATAAGTGGAGAAAAACTTTCAAGCCAGCCCGAACTCATCGACCCGTTTAAAGCAAGATTAAGGAGAGTGATTCAAGAGCACAATTTGAATGAGCACCAGCTGTACAACGCTGACGAGACTGGATTATACTGGCAGTTGCTACCGGATAAAACTTATGTTGCTTTAGCTGAAAAAAACAGCTCCTGAAATGAAGCTTGCTAAACAACGAATCGCGTTTTTGGGTTGTACAAACGCTTCATGCTTACACAAAATCAAACCATTAGTCATAGGAAAAGCCAAAAATCTCAGATCCTTCAAGAACTTCAACAATCCCCTCGTTTATAGAAACAGTAAAAATGCATGGATGACAGGTGAATTGTTCAAAAACTGTTTTTTCCAGCAGTTTGTTCCTGAGGTAAGCTTGAACTACCATTCACATAGGTGCATAATCTGACTAGCTGTTGATTTCAGGTTAAGAGTTTTTTGAAAATTCAAAATCTTCCAGAAAAAGCTGTTACTTCTGGACAATGCACCGTCTCATCCACCGGCTGAGGAATTGAGAACTAATGATGGAAATATTTTTGTGATGTTTATGCCGCCAAATGTACCGCCTCTGATCCAACCCATGGACCAAAATGTACTCAGACTCATCAAACTTCATTATAGAAACAGTTTACTTAGTTCTATTGTGGCTGGGAATGATTCAGTCGGAATCGCCCTTAAGAAAATTACATTAAGGGACGCAATTATACATTTAGCAGCTGCATGGGATAAGTTAAGTCCTCAAGTTATCTCTAAATGCTGGCATAATATTATTGCAGATGTCAATGTAGAAGCTGATCAAGGACAACTGTATGAAGACGACTGACCCCTCTCTGTTTTACAACAAAGGCTAAACCAAAATAAGGTTGTTGACATTGCTCTTGAGGACGCAATCGCCCTCCTTCAAGCAATAGAGCCTGTAAGTTTTAAATTTAAATGCCTAGATTAACTTATGTACAGGGTTTCTTCGAATGCATGAATGTAAATGTTCTGTTTGTTTTTAAAATTACAGATCGAATACACACCTCAAGACGTAGAGGAATGGAACAAAGATACAGTTTCAACTGAAGATAAAGTAGATGAGTGTAACGATGGCAATGAATCCGAAGGAAGTGATTGTGACATCCTCCCAGAGTCAGGGACTAGAGTACCACATTGTGAAGCAGTTAAGGCTTTAGAGGTTACAATAGAATGGGCTCAACAGAACGCGTCTAATATAAGATAAGTGAAATCATAACTCTAAAAAAAATGCATGAAAAAGCTGTTTTAGCTATAACCTGTCTATTAAGCAAAAACAATCCAAAATCACTTCATATTTTTGTGCAAAGGATTTGAATTAAATGTACTATTCTCAAAATAATAAAAACTGTATGCAGTTTGACTATGTTTTTTAATATTTTTGCGACCTTCATTAGTATGAACAGTTTCCGCAATATGAACACATCAGGATTTTTCGTGTTCATATTAGCGAGCTTGTACTGTATTTGATTTTGTAGATTTTCTTGCAGTGCAGTGGCGAAATACCCATAAATAGATATTTTTTAATTATTATTAATTATTATTTAATTATTATTTTTTAATTATTTATTATCAATAACCAGTTATATCCAACAATTATCAATTAATAATCGATTTAAGTTTGATCGAAGATGTTAACTTTTAGTTCGTTATAGTTTTATAAATCTTTGTTTAGAGCATATTTTTCAAAGTTAATAGTGATTGTTTTAAATAACTATTTGTATTTTCTTAAATATTCCTCAATAAAACGAATAAAAATCATATTTAGATTCCATTGAAAACTGCATTTTTAAATTATTTTGTAACTCATTTTATTCATTTGTATTAGCAAACTTAAAAAATAATTTTTTAAAGTAAACAAAATAAATTGAAAATTGTGACGATTTTTCTGTCGTTACCCAAATAGAATGAAAAAAAAATCCGTTGCTCAGGGTTAGAGGAAAGCTGGGTTCGTAGGTAAGGCTTCTGACTCACAGTGCCTTTTTAATGTTGTTAAAAATAAAAAAATGATAATATATAGGCTGCAGAGATTTTAATATTGATGTTAAGAATTCAAATAGGTATGGTCAAAGACAGTGAAAAGGGCGCCACTTACTTTGTTTATGAGAGTGGTAAAGTAAGAAACCAAAAAGAAAAATACGATATCACAACACAGCTAAAATAAAGTAATCAACAGCATTAAGGGTCTATTATGTTTATAAGGAATAAAAGTCAGAAATAACTATCCTACATTAAACATTTATTGAAAACGAACACAAGTATCATCAATTAGTCACAGTGATCCCAATAAAACCGCAAGTTATTTTAAATAGATTCGAATTTAGTAACTGTATTCTTTGGACTAAGTAAGCTGCTTAATATAAAAACAGGTGAAATTTATGTATCTCTCAATACGATGATGTTTCGAAACATGTCGTGTACAAAAACATTTAAAATGAATACGTGTTAATAATTTTCATATAAAATATCATAGCTAAGTAAGAGTGTACTGTACGAATCAAATTATAACTTATAACGTTAAATAAAAAATAATTTTGACTACAATATGTGGGATAAATAGTGATAATTTACCATGTTATTAAATATGTTGTCTCAAAAATTATAAAATAAAAGCGTACCTTGTGTATCAAACTTAAGACTTATCTGTATATAGTTTCTTATGATGTAAACAGGTAGGTAGGTATTCTCCAGACTAACAGAAGTGGATGCAGATGACTATGGCAGGAGAAGTCTTTGATATCAGCCAAAAGAACGATTGTAATGTCAGGAACACTGTCTTAAGGTCTGCATAGGTCCATACAAAATGAAAGTGGGTGAAACATACAATAATTACTGCATTATTACTGCATACCATGTGGTAATTACTGAGTACCATGTGGTAGTTACTGAGTACCATGTGGTAGTTACTCTATAAATAAAAAATAGTTCTCAGGACAGATACTCAATAAAAAAAAACAACTTACGGTCTGAAAATCAGCTTTACATAAATAAATTGTACTGAAGCTGTGGTTGGTTCCTTGTGAAACATCGTTGAAATATTAGTATTTTAATAAAGCACGCTTTTAGATGTTTCAAAAAACTTTTAATAAGAGTAACTTTAACTCTACATATATTAGTAAGTGTAGTTAGACGATTAGTTCTTAAAAAACTCTTGAAAAAGGCCTAACAAGCCGAAACATATATGTAGAGTTAAAGTTACTCTTATTAAAAGTTTTTTGAAACATCTAAAAGCGTGCTTTATTAAAATACTAATATTACATAAATATATTCAAACCATATGCCGATCCAAACCAGTAATTAAATACTCAAATAAACGAAATAAAAAAACGGAAATAACTGAAATAGAATTTAGTTAGATAGGGCTATATAAAATGGCGGATAAACTTACGGTGATCATTCCAAGAAGAAACCAAACAAATACGATCTATACTCTGGATTGCATACTTTACAAGGTTTTCAAATTTCCAAATCGGATACCCATGCAATGGAAATCGAAAAGTGGATTCAGAGTGCTTTTCACTGGAAAATTTGTCGGACGCCGAAACACGCGTCTTCTTCAGATCCAAATTCTCAGAAAAAAATAAGACCTTCTCAGTTTCAGAATCGAAGCCAAAAAACCCTTTTCACCACAGACAAAATGAGAGAGAGAAAAGTGATATCATATGATCGAAATAATTAGAACAGAAAATCGCAATCCACAGCGAAGTGAGATTCGGACAAGTGAAATGCAATTAAGGAAGTTTGGCATATAGCGAATAGATGGCGCTAATAAACAAGACAAGTGAACTGTAATAAATGAAGTTTGACATCTAGCGAATAGATGCGCTAATAAAAATTAAATATCGAGACAAGAGAGCTGTAACAAATGGAGTTTGGTATCTTTGGCATCTAGCAAATAGATGGCGCCAATACTAAGAAATTTAAATAAAAATAGATTTTTAAATTCAATTTTATTAAAGGAAATAAAAAATGCTACAAAATATTTAGTTTTTTTGTATCGTATCTTAATAATTATTATGGAAGCTATCTGAAAACTTAAATCGATTATTAATTGATAGTTGGTTATTGATAATAAACCAGTTGTTGATAATAAACCAGTGGCGGTTATTGATAATAAACCAGTGGCGTCGTAAGTACCTAAAAAAATAATAATAAAAATGTCTTATTTTAATAAAACACTCTGTATCAATGTTTATCAAAATTAGAACTTAAGTATCTTGGGTAAGGAAGATTCAATATAATTTATCAGATTTGAAATAAATACTGTCCTAAGGGTAGTTTACTCTTGACTCGAAAAATATCAAACCCCATTAAAATGTACGTCTATGAGGTATCGCATTTCTTACCCTGGGCAAAATATAGGTCTTATAGCCATACAGCCTCCTGCCAAAAATGAAAAAGATCGCTCAACAAACAACCAAGATATTGGCTTGTATCCATCTTAAGTGGGACACCCTGTATATTCCTCTACTATTTCCTGTGTTATTGTGTTATTTATTCGAATGTCTTCGATTTTACTTATTCGTTTTTTAATCTACCACGTACTTGATAGAGAAAAACCGATCTAAAAGAATACATTTGATGGTACTTGCCGTTCATCTATGTTAAAAAATGCACGCAAACGTCAACAATGCAAGAGATACGTCCGTTTGAATCGGGAGTCTCTGCTATCTATCGACGGTCAATTTGAATTTTATCGAAGAAACAGAGGCAGGCAGTCCTTCATGTCGTTAGCATCTATTATTCGCTTGTTTTCTAAGATGTCAGACAAGGAACGAACAGTGTATAGCATTTTTTCTTGTATATCTTCAGGTTAGAAGTAGGGATGTGCAATAGTTTCAGTAATATCGATACAGTATAGTTCAATACTAAAAGTCCTCGTCTTAGTGATAAGCTTAGCTAAAAATCAAGAAAGGGAGTTCTTGTGGGTTTGCAGAATAAATATCTATTCAAGATTCAACGATTATTGAATACCTGAATCGAAAATAAAAATGAGCTTGGTTTGCATTACATTAAATATAAGAGGCGGGGCTGAAAAATAATCGGCCTAGGTAAGAAAACACAACTTTTTTCAGCAAAACTCAATTTATTTCTCAACGTAGTCCCCGTTAAGCTCTATACACTTTGTCCAACGATTCTCCAATTTTTCGATGCCCTTCGAATAATACGATTTTTCGAAGTCCTTAAAGTAGGCCTCTGTCGCAGCGATGACCTCCCCATTCGACTCAAATCTCTTACCACCGAGCCATTTTTTCAAGTCTGGAAACAGATAATAGTCGCTTGGCGCCAAATCTGGGGAGTATGGCGGATGAGGAACCAATTCGTAACGCAATTCATACAGTTTTGCCATTGCGACTGCATATTTATGTGCCGATGCGTTGTCCTGGTGGAGGAGCACATTTTTCTTCGCTAAATGCGGTCGTTTTTGCTTCAAATCGGCGTCGAATCGGTCGAGTAGCTTTGAGCAATATTCGCCGGTGATCGTTTTGCCCTTTTCAAGGTAACC